GGAGGGAGGGAAGGTGGGAGGAAGACAAGGAGGATTCCACTGCTTTTGAATACTAACATAGCTCCAGATATTAATGACACGCACTAGCCAAAAGCAGCCACACTAACACGGCACAAGATTTTTTGAGATGTTTGATTTCACGGTCTATGTGTTTCGTGTGGGGTGGGCCCAGATCTGGAGTTCTACTTCCAGGTTCTACTTCTACCCGCCCCGCCCGTTGGGCTGCCAATGCCGCGTCCTGGGCCTACGCCACCCAAGTGATGTGTGGTGGCTGCCCTGACACTGTTGTTTCACCCTGTCCGTCCGTGTGCATAGCGCCCCCCCCCGACCTGCTTGGAAGGACTAGGTCCAGTTTTATTCCGGTTCTAGTTGTCAATTCAATTCCTACGATGGAATTAAAATGTGTTTTGCGTTTGGGGGGGCGCTAGGTCCAGTCGTAGGTGTCATGCATTTCCTATGACCTATGATAAATTATATAAATTTAGAATTTGCTTTATGTCGGGGGACGAGATCCAGTGCCAGAACTAACTATTGTATATGGTTCCCCAAACAGTGCGGGCACACTGAGGGGTTCTTACGGTAAGTGAAAAGCAGGTGTGCTTAGATCGCTGTTCGGCGCGGGCGTGTCCGGCTAAGTCGCTGCTATTTACAATACATGTCAGTTTCACATGAAGATGTCATTGATAGCTAACAGTCCTGATCTCGTGTGGTTGTGCACTTAATGTTACCGTAACATTCAGGCTCCATTTTGTGAGTGAAAGGGCGCTGCGCGTTCCGCTACATGGTAGCGGAGCCCCGAAAGGGGCTCTGCTGGTCGACTTCTTCACCAAGGAGGGCGTGTTCGAGTAGGCCTGGATTCCTGATCGGGCGCATTTTGCTGCTTGGATTGATTAGCAATCCCCTGGTGCTGGCAGAGCAGGTGAAATTCGTTGAACACAAGGCCCACCAGACAGCAAAGTTCAGGTACAGGCATTTTCACGTGTACAAGTTGCTTTTGGGTGAGAGATCACCCGTTGAGATCAAGAAAGTCAACTGCAGCAAGCCGGAAGTCGTGTTTCTAGAAGATCCCCACAAGGTGGAAGTTCAGGTACCTCAGACCTGGAGGCTGCTGCAATTTGATCTTTTCGAGGAGTTTGAGAAGGAGCAGGACCTGCGAAAGCGATTTCGTGTGTTCTGGCGTGACGGAGTGAAATTTTTGAGTGAAGAGAAGCAGGGTGAGCAGTTCATTTGGACGGAGGACGCTGGACGACTGACATTTGTTTGTTGGACCATGGCGGAGAGAGCATTGGATTCTTTACAGCGTTCATTGCAACAGTTGGTACAGGTACAACAGAGCAATCAATGGAGCAAGCATCTGGGCTCTTCAGAAGCATTCAAACCCACCACAAGGGATGAAGAGCTACGACAGTGGCCGGATTGGCGTTTTGGATTTCTACAATTCGTCAAGACAGTGGATCAGAAGACAGCAGAGTTGTTGGAAACCATCAATAGGCAACCCAATGGGAACTACAATGCCTCGGAGATGGATGAGGACACGGTGAATTTGAGCAAGAAGTTTTATGGTGTCCTGGTTTCCTACATGAAGAACCGTCCACTCACCTTGATCAGACACATCGAGGACTTCAATGGCTTCAAGGCATGGAGCATTTTGGTCAAGGAGATGGAGCCATCCACTCGACAGAGGAGTTTGGCATTGATGGCACAGTTGAGCAGGGTGGAATTTTCCACCTCCAAGAGCATTGCAGAGCAGATCTCCGTCTATGAGAACTTGGTTCGAGAGTATGAACGAATTAGTGGCAACCAGTTTCCTAGAGATTCGATGCTGGCAGCCATTTTGCAAGCTTTGCCAATGGCATTGAGGACCCAGGTTCAGATGACCATCACGGGGGAGACAACCTATGAAGAGCTCAAGGAGCGCATTTTGCACTACGAGAGCATTACTACGAGATGGGATTCTTCCAACTCGCTTCAACTGCCGGTCAGGCAGTCAGATGATTCAGTGCCAATGGAGGTTGACATGGTCTCCAAAAGCCGAAAAGGAAAAGGAAAGGAGAAGGGCAAAGGCAAGCAGAAGGGCAAGACAAAGGATGATGGCAAAGGAAAAGGCTTCTCCATCAAAGGAAGCAAAGGAAAGTTTGAGAAGGGAGGAAAGTCCAAGAGCAAGGA